CTTTTATTTATTACGTATGTTCGTCATTAAAATTACCATTGGATAAATATTATTGTCCCATATTATTTACAGTCATTTCTTTAAGTAGAAAGTAACGTAACATCGTATTATCAGTCCCACATCTGGTCACCTGCTCTCAAGAGTCTGCTTCTAAGAGGGATGTTAGAGCAAGGTAGCGTTTCAAATTTTATTTAAATTCTGTGACGATCTTATATAGTTTTAAGTAATTTAAGAACTACAATGGGCATGCAGGGTGGCAGCAATGTAACAATGTTTGCTGCTCATGTACTGTAAAAGGGGAGGGTTTATCTCCTAATCCACCACGGATTTCTTTTCTAATTTTATTTATTTTAATCATTAAAATTATCATTTAATTAGAGCTTATTTTATTTGCAATATTTTGCAGCACCCATCTCCATAGCGGCGCTAAAAACTTTGAAGTCCTGATCTCACAATTAATTTATGCAAAATATGTGTACGTTCCTTTGTACACTCGATAATTAAAAAATAATTAGTCCTTTTTATTTTTAATATAAAGTATTTCTTGTCATCTTTTTTATCATTAGCTCTTAACAGTTTAATTATTGAACATAAGTCTCTGCCAAATTGGGAAATTTATCGATCGAAATACCTACTCATTTTCTGAGTATTTACTTGTGATCTATTTTAATGTAGTATTTATGTACGGAGTAGTAGCGGTGTAAGAATACCCACTATTCCATATCATCCCGTGGGTATCGTAAAAGGCGACAGAGGGGGAACAAATCAGGAGATGGGTAGCAGCATCTTAACAACCACTAAAAATAAAAAACTGCGGTTGCCTACCCGAAACGTGGCAACTATGGCAAATTTCTCCCCTTTAACCCAATCTATGGGGTAGGCCTGTGTTCAGCAGTGGACTTGAATAGACGCGGGTGTCTTACGGGGATAAGTTGGAATCCTGTATTCTCTTATGACGTTGCCTTACACTTTTTACGTGGTAGAGCCATACTGCTGTTATATTAGTAGTATAGTAGTAACATGAATGGGTCGGCTCGACCGGGGAAGGACCACGCTCTCACAGAATACCAGCGTAAAATAGTAGCTTAATGCTGCTGTGTTTTATATAGTGAGTGTGGAGAACTAGATACCCTTTTTACTGGAACCTTAAGATGGAATATCTTAGTCCTCACGGGTAACAACGCATCTGCATTTTAATTCGTAATCGAGAATAGATGTAGATGTCTATGAGCCACAGCAACCACTTATCATCAGGTGGACTGTGTGCTAGTTTGTCACCCTATTCTATATAGAAAAAGTCAATAATTTACTACGTAAAAACACACGACATTTTTTTTAAATAAAGTTTATACTTTTGACAATAGTAAATGAATGAATGAAACTTTGTTGTACACCACAAACAAATTTACAGATAACATAACAAAAAGCAGATTATATGTACAATTTGGCGGACTTATCGCTACATAGCGATCTCTTCCAGGCAACCAGAGGTGTAAAGGAATATAACTAAAATTATTATTATATATTATAAAATATTTATTCACTCCTTACAGCCAATCAAGTGTCCTTTGTATTGCAATGCACGTAATAAATATTATGATGACGATATCTTAATATTTATTACACGGGTGAGATTTGTCCAAAGAAATAGTAGTAGTATATTTAAATCCCTTTGGATTTATCATTGCGGTGTTATATATTTACGACTTGGTGTCAAAACACCAAAATTTCGCTACTATCCTTACATGAAATGTGTACTCACGAATACATGAAAGCATTTACGGAATATTCTTTAATTGCTCTGATAATTCTTGTAATGGTGAAAGTTTCATCAAAATCCATCAAGGAGTTTAACATTTCAACCAAATATCCAGACAGACGCGGATAAGCAACATGTTATATTCTATTTAGTGATATAGATAAAACATTGATAAGACAAGATATCGGACCAATAAAGAAAGATAGACAAAGCACTATGTTTTTTAAAGGAGAATGGTGACAAACGAGCACACAGTCCACCTGATCGTAAGTGGTTGCTGTGGCCCATAGACATCTACATCTATCCTCGATTACGAATCAAAATGCAGATGCGTTGTCACCCGTGAGTACTAAGATGGAATGTCTCCTTTTCAGTAAAAATGGTCTCCGGTTCTCTTTTACATCCACCATACGAAACAACAGCGTCCAGCTACTATTTTACGCTAGTATTCTGTGAGAGCGTGATCCTTCCCCTGTCGAGCCGACCCATTCGTGCTACGACTATACGACAAATATAGCTGCAGTATGACTCTACCACGTAAAAAAAACTTACAGAACTTGCATATTTGTGCGTTAATGCGTTTTATAAACAAATTCACTCACAAATATGCATCTAAAATCATAAGTTATTAAACAACTTCGATCAACAATTGTTGATCGAAGTTAAATAACATGGTTTTAAGTGCGTATGTGTGCGGCCGCTGTGACATTTTTACGTACTGTTTAAGAAAAAATAAAGATTATGTGCATTTCAAGAAGTTGTCTATGGTTTCGGTGTCATAGGAAATGTACACCTAGCACTCAGTCTATAGTGATTTGTTGGTCTGAGGATGAAATATAATAGACATATTATGTATGTACATATTTTCACCCCTAAACTTCGGGGCATCCACTACTGTGTTCTGTTTTGATGGTTATATAGATCTAGATCAGTTACCGGCTTCGAGTGAGGCATTCCATGTTAGCTTTCAGACTTGACAATGAATCTAAAGTCTCCGTTGGAAGTGTTTGCGCAGGTGTTCTTTATGATTTAATTCATTTTAAGTTGAATACAAAAGCATAATTAAAGTAGCATCCACATTATAAACCACAAAGGTTTGTAAATAATAAACTAAATTACTCTATTATATCTCTATTTTGTTCGTAATGTAGTAACTTTCTTGATATTTTAGGAACAGGTTGTGTCGATAAGAACCGAAAAGCTCGATAAAAAGGGGAAAAAGGAAAAAGTATTCATCCTTGAGCCATATTTAAGTAATTTAGACAAAAAAATTCTTTTTGGCTTGAGTGAAATAAATATTGTATAGGTATTTATTTACATTGCGGTACAAGTAAATAATAATTTAACAAAAAAAAATCCCTAAACGCAGACAGCTTGACTCCCATCCTGATTACATGAGATAACGAAATAAAGGCACTATTGTTTTATAACGTTGAGATGTCGTTGTAGATAAGGTATGTTTAAAATTAAAATATTCCTTCAAAACGTATTTCCGGAATTTTATAAATTTTAAATAGCTTCAGGTGTGGGAATGAAGCATAAACTTAGACTTTGGTAATAAAAACAAGAACCTTATGCTTATGGTAATAAAAGGTAGATTTGCATGAAGTCGGTGTGTTTTAAAATCTTTCCCATTGTACTGGTGACGAATCACCACAGATAATTGAAGTTTAATTGTCAGTTTGTCCTTATCAGGTACTCCAGTTAAAATTAGTATATCCGATCGCTTTGGAAGTATTGTTTTTGTTATGGGGATGTTTCCAGTACACTCATTTATTGTCATTAAATTATTTAAAAAATGAAATGAAATATCTATAATAAATAAAATATATTTTCTTCCAACTAATAAATAAAAATTTAGTTTGAAAAAATTACTTCAAAAAGGAAACTATTTTTTATCGGCAATTTTTTATTATTGTAAAAATATTTTATATAATATTTTGTATAATGTTATATTGACTTTAAGCCATTACTGTATTTTATTTATTGCACTGTTGAACGTAAGCCTCTCACAAAAACGCCAAAAACGACACTGAGCCACCTGTAGCCATCGACTTCCGCATGTCGGAAGTGCTCTTCGCCATAGTACCTAACTGTTTTTACTGTCTTCGTATACTATTGCAAGGCTGGTTTATTCATTCAGGAAATCAGATTATATATTAGGGATTTTATTTACAAAATCAGCAGAATTAAATCAGATAATAGTGTGGCTTTATCAGGGAAGTCATCCTACCACGGGTTAAAAAGTCTATGTAGGAAACCGGAGATCCTTTTTACTGCTAGCGAGGCGTTTTACCTTAGTCCTCAGAGGTACGCACTAACATTTTGATTCTTTTTTTTAGGGACATACACCGTAGAAAATCTAATTGAAACAGTCATATGTTCTCTGGTGTTGTTATATTGCCAACATAGAAGAACATAATGGTTTCTTATATTTACGCGAACAATACCCATTGAATAAAACTACTTTTACGGATTTTATTGCGTTTAATATAAGTTTACTCATGCTGCATACGCGATCTCACCGTTCCTATTTGATTTACGCTAACACGCCAAGATCAAGGGTAAGTTTGAATGTAGCGTTAGCGAAACTTCACACTTCAATATTCCAAAGCTGTCAACTTTTGCATAGATTAAATCATGATTTCCTTGTGGTTCAAATACAGTATTTTCCATTGCTAAGCAACTAACCAAAGAGTCGAACGGTGTTATTTTCTAATAAGTAGCAAAAGCTGTCACTTTTTATTGACTTATTTAAATGTTGAGATCAACGCGGTGAAAAATTTATTCGGACATTCAATTTGATGACCCCGAAATTCAGTGAACTCTGAATGTAAGGCATAGGTTCTCTTAAACTTTTTAGAGCATTAGAGCATATATATATAGTTTTCTTATTTCCATGATACACTCTGCACGTCATTCATTATACTGGAGGCACTGACAAGCCATAACGCCATACTTATATTTATTTATATTTTGATTTGTAGCAAACAAAGTTGCGTGCGATTGCTAGTTCTAAATTTATCGTGTATAGTAGAGATGGCTAATTGGTATTATTTTGCCTTGTTTCGTGATTCATCGCGTCAGTTGCGTTCGTAAGAGGACGAACGGTGCGCGCCTTCAACGGCTTGTTTTTATTTATTTTTTTGTTGTCATGTGCATGGCCATAGTCTAATTCCAGTCGGTGCGGTGGCAAGTGTATGTTTTTAGTTCTGTGGTCCGGTGTTTGTGCGTGATTTATTTGGGAGTAACTTGCATTAATATCTTTTGTAAGGGTAAGTTATTATCAATTTGTTTTGTTGTTGTTATTTTTTTATTTATTGTATTCTCAAATTGTTTACTAACATTTTGTTCACTTTTGAATTTGGAACAAAATAGATATGTAAACATCAAAATTCTTTGCTTTTGAGATTTTTCATTTTTATTTTTAACATTTTCCACTTTTTATTTTTGATATAGCAAAGATAACATTAGCTTTTAACTTAGCGTTTGATAATAAATGATAATGATTGTTTTGTATAATATGCTATCCTTTAGCTAATTACATATTATCCACTAAATAATACAGTTTACATGAACATTCATGTATAAACACTTGAATGTGTTCTATTACTGAATGATTTATTATTTGAGTTCTCTGAGTCATACCGTTTTTTTTACGGTATCAACTTCCTGGTAAAAATAAAAGTTTCTCGGTACTAAGTAGGTCCGAAGTTGGCGTGTGATTTTATTGTAATGACTTGTTTTTATGATATAACACCCAAGATGTTTTTAAAGCAAATTGTTTTGGTATTTTAAAACTTAAGACGTATTCTTTGCTTTGAGGTAATAACTTAATGTTTTACACAATCAATAGAATTTATTATTTTTACCTTTGTGAACAGTTTTTGATATGAAATTCATTTTTGATGTAAAGTAGTGCAAAGATATCGTATTATTTACAAAGATAATATGTTTATTTATTGGATTATATGACATTAAGTTCTATATATTTAAATATGAAAATATTTTAATGTCTGTCGTTATCATGCCATGGATAATTTAGAAACGTTTAGTAAAGAACAAAGTTTCTTTAAACAAACTTATATTGATCCTTATACCCTATTTAGGGCATAAACTTTAGCTTAAATTTCGGTAGATTTGCTTAAGATAAGATAAAATGCAAAAAAGAGTAGCTACTATCTATAATTCCCCAACCAGGATACAGCACTTTAAACCGGGACGTAAGGTCAGTCGTAATTTAGAGAGTTTTTTTTGATTTTTACGGATTTTGTGTTATGGACTTTAGGGGGGGGGCTGAGGTATTCGTGTTCAACGTAAGCACGGATTTACTACAGGCCATGGGTGCTGTAAAGTGCTCGAATTAGTTTTATTCAAATTGTTTTTTTAATTCAAGATCGCTGCTCGTAGACTATGTTCGTATTATTTTCAGCCTAAGGCTACTCTATGCTACTCGAGGCCTGTGTTCAGCAGTGGACTTGTGAAGGGCTGTAATGATGATGAAGGCCACTAAATATTTCTTAAAACAGTTGCTCATACTAATCAACGGGTACGGGCGTTTTTTACATGATAGAGTCAGCTTCAGCTCCATACTATGTCTGTAGCATGAATAGATCGGCTCTCCCGAGGAAGGACCACGCTCTCACAGAATACCAGCATAAAGTAGCAGCTTGATACTGCTGTGTTTTGTATGGTGATTGTAGAAAACCGTAGACCACTTTTTTACTGGAAATAAGGTAATCCATCTTGGTCCTTAGGGTTGACAACGCATCTATATTTTAATTCTTAATCTTTGTGCTCGTTAGTTACCCTTATTCTATAAAAAAGGTGGACAGTATTCTCCTGTATTGTAGAAACGTTTTAAGTACGTAAATAGCATAAGAACAAACAACCAGACCAGAAATAATTTGTAGGCGATATAAATACTCCTGGGATTTGAACCCGCACTTCACGCCGTCGCGTCGCAGCCAAAAGCTCAGCTACTGCGCGAAAGAGTTGTCTAAAAACCGTCTTTTGACATGTTTTGGGTAGAGAATTCTGTTGGATTTACAAAAAAATTACGAGTAACTTTTTGTATTTTTAATCAATGTGTATTTTGCGGCTTAAGAGATTCAATCTTATAATTGATGATCTAATATTAAATAGTCTTATACCACGCATCGTCCATGGGGTCAACTTAATGGAAAAATGCATTATTAAAAAAATTTAAGCTATAGAAAAAGCAATATTTAAAAAGGAAAACTTGAGGAGTCAGTGGTGTACCACTAAGGTAGAATAAAGTTATACTTTAATAGCATACAAGAACAAACACTCGCAGATCAATGAAACCTTATGATTCATTGATCAGATCACAGCTTCATAACATTAAAATCTCACATAGTAAATTGCTCGTTTAAATATTACGTCACAAATGAATGATGACGTCACGCTGCCTTCCAACTTGCGCGGTGTGACCGTGATGTACCGAAAATTACGTGCTACGCTTATTTAATAGTACGTTGTTTGTATACGTGTGAAGTGTAATGGGCAATGATTGTGTCAGTCAGTTTTATTATCACACAATTTAATTGCTTAACATAAGCAGACCGTTTAGTTTACTTTTTTACTAGTCTGTGTACGAGACTTTTGATATGCGATTTTGGGTATGGTGGTATGGTAACAATACTATATTATAATTAATAAAGAGTTTAGTAATTACGACTCCTATACTAGGATTTTCTCCTGTATCGCGGAGGCAGTTTACAATCAGAAATTGCACAATGAGATACATGCAGACCCGAAACAATTATTGTTTGTAGTTAGGGTTGCCACATTTTTTTGAAGAAATATAGTATTTTCCCCAAAAAAGATGCAAAAATGTAGTACTTTACTTTTGAGAAAATCAGGAATAAAAAAGTACACAGGCTGCACTAAAAGTATCGGGAATGGAATATTTCCACTGTTCTGTATTTAAAATAAAATTCTTCTTGTCACAACTTTGGTTTTGTCAAACATTTGTTTATCGTTGAAAAAATGGAATTGACTCGATCTTTCAAAATTCAAGAGCGATGATTTATTATGACTTTCGAAGTGGTTTAAACAAAAACAGTGTGTTGACCGGATGGTTTCTGCATTTGGTGATGAAGCCCCATCCAAAACCACAATTTATCGCTGGTTTGCGGAATTTCAACGTGGACTTGTCAAGCTCATTGATGATCCCCGTCAAGGTCGTCCAAAAACTGCAGTCACCCAAGAAAACGTTGATGCTGTGCGTAAGCTAATTGAGGAAGATCGACATGTGACATACCGCGAAATTCAGGCAACTTTAGACATTGGCATGAGTCAAATACAAATAATCTTGCATGAACAATTAGGTGCAAAAAAGTTGTTTTCCCGATGGATACCGCATTCGCTCTGTGAAGAGCAAAAAGCGGCTCGCGTTACTTGGTGCGTCAGAACTCTCGAAAGATTCCACGCAGGATCCTCAAATGCTGTATACAACATCGTATTAGGTGACGAATCCTGGATATACGCGTACGAACCCGAAACAAAAAACCAGTCACGAGTTTGGGTGTTCGAAAATGAGTTAAAGCCAACATAAATTGTTCGTTCACGGAGTGTTGCAAAAAAAATGGTGGCCACGTTTGTCTCCAAAACCGGCCATGTTACGACTATTCCTCTTGAGGGACAAAGAACGGTTAATGCAGAATGGTATGCTAGCATTTGTTTGCCACAGGTCGTTTCTGAACTCCGTAAAGAGAACTGCAACCGCCGCATCATCCTCCATCACGACAATGCGAGTTCTCACACCGCACACAGAACAAAAGAGTTTTTGGAGCAAGAAAACATAGAATTATTAGACCATCCGCCGTACAGCCCCGACCTAAGCCCTAATGATTTCTATACTTTCCTTGAAATAAAAAGTAAATTGCGTGGACAAAGATTTTCATCACCTGAAGAAGCTGTGGACGCCTACAAAACGGCCATTTTGGAGACCCCAACTTCCGAATGGAATGGTTGCTTCAATGATTGGTTCCATCGTATGGAAAAATGTTTCAAATTTCGCGGAGAATACTTCGAAAAGCAATAAATACATTTTTAAATAGTAATGTTGTGTCACTTCCTTGATTCCCGAAATTTTCAGTGCCGCCCTCGTACACGTAGATTTTTAATTTTATGTATTTTTCCATATTGTATATTCGTTAAATTGCTCTTTGCTTTGGCCATCAATGACTTAACCACCTTACCTTGTACTTCTTACCTTTACAATAAAAATAGGAGTTTGAACTTTGAACAATTTAGATTCATATTAAAATAAATTAACAATTAATTTTTAACTAAATGAATACATGCTTCTTTTCCTTCTTTTGTCAATTTTGCATAGATTTTCAATCACAGTTGTATAAAAAAGCGCGACAGTTGAATTAGGGATAAAAAATATAGTATTTTTCGTACTATAGTATTTTTCTATAATATATAGTACAGTTGACTGAAATGTAGTACGATACTATATATTATAGTACGGGTGGCAACCCTATTTGTATATCATACAAATAGTTGTTCCATGCGTGATTCGAACCCGCGGTCCCCAGCGCTGCATCTCATTGCTCCGTCCTCAGCTGTCGTCAGCAGTCAATTATTTGCTTGAAGCACCGACAATCGATTTATAAGTAAGGTTTCTAAGTAGTAAGATTTCTTTTCTATCCGCAAGTTTCTCAAGGTACCTAGGTACCATCCTATTACCTATTTTTGACGCAAGAACAAGTGTTACTGCAGCCTGTAAGGCATTCCATCTTAGTCCTCAGAGGTGACAACGGATCTGAAGCATTTTTTTTGGACGCAACTGGCCATAGACTGCAGCAGTCACTTACCACCAAGTGGACTGCAAGTTTGTTTGTAACTAGTTTGAACTATGCCAGACCCTCTCAAGGATGACAGGACTATATACGTACATTTATTAGATTGTCAGTCATTGTGTTGCACAAGTTGTATCACGATGTGATGCAAACTTGATTTCCTTATTAAAGTTGCATTGTTTTACTGATGCAAGCACGCCGCGGGGTGCCCGGTGTTGTGCGGCAACTTAGCCCCACGGGGATTTGTATTAGCTCGGCCAATTTACTTTTACATGGACAGTTTTTATTAGGTATTGTTTTGTATCTGATATATCTATTGTTAAGTGAAGGTGGTGCCGCACCAGCTCAGGGGCTAAGCGCTTGCCGTAAATTTCACAATACGCGAGCAGCAGTCCGGGTTCGAATAGGAATCGCAACAATGAATTTGTTAATTGAATTTT